ATTAACATTTGTCAAACAATAATCGTCATAATTACAATGTTACTTTCTATAAAATTTTGTAAAATTTTTCGGTTTTTATTATTAGAAAATAGATATTTGATATTCGAACAAAATCCGGTTAACCGCAAAAACAGATAACCGGCGAATTCATTATATCCATCCCTATATAAACAATATATATAAACAAATATGTTATGTTATTTTTGTGGCAAAAAACTAGAATAACAAACTAGAAATTAGATTTTATTTGAATTTTTTTAAAAAAAACTCCTTCTATGAAAGATATATGAAATGATATATTCTAATAAAGACAAAAACTATTTATTTATTACTATTGTAATAAATATAATCTTTTATCCATGAAATGATATATCTGTACCAGTTTTGTATATTTTTATGCAATTGTATGCAATATAATTAAAATTAATCAAAAATGTAAGATAAATAAAAAAAATGTAAAAAAATAAGATAAAATAAAAAAAAGGAACCTTGACACATAAAGGTTTATTTTAGCACAAACCATTGTCAATGCGCAAAATTTTTTTGGCTTAACTTTTAGATTAGCGTTTAATATTATTCTTTAATTTTTAATCATAATCATAAGAATGAACTTTTTTTTATAACTATGTTTTAATGGTTTTAAGACCTTCTTAGTTTATTATTATTTGTATAACTTTACATACAAATGTCTATAAGTGTCAATGCCTTTAGCAAATGTTGAGTTTGCAGGCATTATATGGAATAATTGCGTATAATATATCTAAATGAGAAAACTTTAAAATTTTATTTTAAATTTTAGACATCTTTTTTGCTATAAATATATAAGCAAGATTGAAAAAATTTCAAAATCTATTACGCAGAGGGGAGGTCTTAAACCCCCCAAAACAAAACTGATGACAGCGCACTTAACCACTGAGCTATCAAAAAAATGCATTTGGCAAAAAAACAAACCAAATTATAAGCCTCTTAAAAGCTCTACATATGGGGAAACGACGCACACGCTAAGTTTATTGTCCTTGAATGTTTTTTTCAGAACAAACTGCTTCACCAAAAAATATTGAAGTAAATAAGAAATAGGTGTATAAATAATTTGTGTGGAATAGATATGTATAGAAGTGGTAGGTTTGGTAAAGACCCGTATTTTATGGATCCAAAAAACTAGGAAAAAGTATAGAAAAGTTCATTTTGGAATAAACTTACAAAGAGCTGTATTTTTACAGGTCCGATCTCAGCTAGTTATAATTGTTCACCAATACATAGTAGACCAAAACAGAGGGGACAGGTAGAACTAAACGCACTGAGCCGAATGTTGAAAAGATACAGGCATCTAAAATTGCAAAGCACTAAAAGATTAGAAATAAAAATGTACAAGAATAAAAATTAATATGAAACAATAAAGGCTATGCGAAAAATGTATAGACAGCATGGCCTAATAGAAGATTAAAAACTATTTATATATGTGTGTGCACCTTAGAAAATACAATAAAATACTTTAATGGTATAAGAAATCTGAATTTAAAAGAGATGTGCATCATTCATAAACGTGCTACAAATAGATAATTGGTTACAATGCAAATATATGACCAGCGGTATTTAAAAGATAAATAATTTAAAAGAATTGACATGACCAAGTAGTCTAAAATAAAATACACTTAGATGGAAATAAAAGACAAAAAACTGCAAGCGTTTCCTGGGAAGGCTTGCCATATGTAATGCACGTCTCTAAGTTTTCTTTTCTTTAACTATACCATTTTTATTGTATGTTACTATGTCTAAATGAATAGCAAAAATATGTTTATATCCATATATATCTATATTATATATACATAAATGCACCTCTTATCTAAGTATTACTTCTCCTCATAACTAAGCAGAGTTATTTACAAAGAATTTTTTTTTGAATCTTGAATTTGACTCTTGAATTGGTCTTGACTATTGGCCATACTTTTCTTGCCGTTCCATTTAAACAAATTAACTCATTGTAGGCATCCAAATCACTTTCGCTTTTGATGCTAAAGTCAGTTCTCAATTTTAATCTTGTTAAGTTTTTGGTATACATATCCATCATAGTTTTGAAAAAGTGTTCTCCAGAACTCTCTACAATCTTCGCTGAACTATTATAAAGTAATAAATTAGCGGTTCCAATATTTAAAATTTCTAGAAAACATTCTGACTTTTCTAACTATCCTATGAATAGTCTTCTCTTTAATATTATTTAACCGCAGGCTTGGACAGGAATGGCGTGCAATCAAACGCTATTGTTTACCACATAATGATTTTTTTTGCTGACAACTTGACCACAACTGCTTAGATGTTTTGATGATTTAAACATTTCAGAAATGCACTAAAAAAAGATATGCTAAGCTAAACTGTTTAGCTTAGCAATTTAAAGTCTGTTTTTATAAGTCTGAAAACTATGAAAAAACTAAAAAAAAAACTAAAAGAAAACAATTGCAAAAAATAATATAAACAAGCCTTAGATAAAATTCAAACTCAAAGCGAAATTTTTTTTGTCACGTTTTAATAAATTACGTTTTTTATAAATCACGTTTTAAATAAATTACTTTAAAACTAATCTTTTGAAACATTTAATTAAAGTTACGTAAAACGCTTTTGTAAAATACTTCAAAAAATTGTTCTATTTTAACTTTTATTTAAACTGTTGTTTATTTAAAAAGTAAAATTAAATTATTGAATGAAAAAAATATAATATTTTAAAATTGTATAAACATTTTTTTTTTAAAGTTGTAAAAAAAAAAAAAATATTTTCAATTATAAAAATTACTATTAAATTTTTTTTTTAAATAGTAATTTTTAATCATTAAATAATGTAATGTAATTTTTTTGACTTGACTTACTAATGTAGTTTGCATTACTTGACTTACTAATATAGTTTACATTAGTAAGCCAAAAAAAAAAGCTTTTAAACAATTCTTTGTAAAAATAGAAAGAAAAAAAATTAAAAAATAAAGCAATTAAAAATAAATTAAAAAATAAAGCAATTTCCATTGTAACGGGAAGATTTTATTTAAACTTAATCAAAGTTTAAAGTATTTAAAAAAAGTAATCTTATGAAATTTTTTTAGAGAGACATAAAACAATAGTTTCAAATGTTTGAATTTATCATAAAAACTACATATTTAATTTACACAAAATGCGTTTATTTTTAACGATTATTATAACTAATTTTTATTTAATTAAAGCCTTTGCGTAAAATAAAAATATTTTAAAAGATCAATGGTTAAATGCTATTCATAACTTAATGATTTTTTTATTGCATTTAAATTGGTAAAACATTAAAACAGCCATCATCAAATTGTAAAGAAAAAAATATTAGCGTGGTCAGTTACAGAGTACGATTCCACCCCACTCCTGTCCAAGCCTGAACCACAGTATTAAAGTCATTCTTACACTACACTCATCTTCATCTCAAGTAACTTTAGAAGTATGGCAAGGTTCTATCTTTGCTCCTGTATTGTTTCTCATCTACATTAACAAATTTCCTAATAATCTTACATCTAAAGTGATTCTATTTGCTGGCAACTCAACTTTATACTATTGTCTTTACATTTTGATTGCTAAGAAAAAGCAATAAAAAGTCTTCACTTTTTAATCGCTTAGAACAAGCAGTCAATCTTAAATCTCCCTTATGTAACAACTTGGGGCAAACAGTGGCTTGTGGATTTTTACTAAACCAAAACTTACTTATTTACTGCTAACAACTAACAACTATCGCAGTATTGTTGACATTCCTATGATGACGAACAATAGCCTTCTCACTTTCAGACAAGGTCCAAAAGCGCATTGTAAATGTGGTTTTTTTTTTTTTCAGACAAGGTCCAAAAGCGCATTGCAAATGTAGTTTTCTCTTTTTTCAGACAAGGTCCAAAAGCGCATTGTAAATGTAGTTTTCTCTGCCAAAATTGAGTCTCTCCCATCATTGCAAGGTTGCATCTCTTTCTTTTTTTTCTACAAACCCAATCATGGTCATCATCATGGTCACTGCTCAAACAAGCAATCATTTCTAGTTTAATCAACCAAAACTCATTCTCATTCTCATCATTCTAGCATTCAACAAAGTCCTGTCCTTTTACTGTATATACCCTTCCATGTTAAAAATTTTTATTCATCTAGTTAATTTCCTGGCACATCAACAAAATCTCAAAATTCTCATCCGTCTTTGTGTATTTATGACTCATACAATCTGCAACTTTTTAAGTCTTCAATTAAATGTTTCCTTTCTCTTTAACCCTATCCTTTGTTTTCTAACTAGCAAAAATTACTTTAGTGGATTTGCAGTAAATAAGCATTTTTGACCTAAAATTAGCATTTTTGAGCCATTTATTTGAGTTTTGCGCATTAGTTACTTAGTGGACCATTAGTGGCAGCCGCAATAAATGGACAGCCAATAACTTTCCTACATGTAAATAATAGCCATCTCTAACCACTTTTAGCAGCTGTCACTAAGTAACCAATAAGCAAAACTACAGTAGATGACTCATAATGCTAAAATAGATCCACAGAAATCCTGCTATACAATGTTTGCTGGGTAGTAACTTATAACTCAGTAGTGTAGTAAAAAAGTAGAAGTAACTTGGCTTGAATATATATATATATATATATATATATATATATATATATATATATATATATATATATATATATATATATATATATATATATATATATATATATATATATATATATATATATATATATATATATATATATATATATGTATATATATATATATACCAGTATTTAATAAAAAGTAAATATATGCATAAATTTATAATATATTAAGTATTATAAATTTTTATCTAATCCCAGTTATCAACCCCCGCTAAATCCTAAAATTTTGCTGAGACCAGATTTGTGATAAGTCCCATTTTTTTCTGCAGCCAGTTCACTTACTAGTTCCCAAAAATTTTTGTTAGATAATAATTTAATATTTTAGAAATTAAATTATAATAATAATAAACAGAACAAAAACAAGTTACCTCAACATTTCCTTTTGGTGAGTAAGCATTAAATGGAGGTACAATACCAGTCAGATTTTCATTGAAGACATTAGTTTTAAAAAGAAGCGTTCCATTTAAATTATAAATTGATACAACATTTACTTTTTGAGAAGAAGGTAATGAAAGCAAAACATCATAAGACACTTTTTCTGCTTTAAATCCATTCATAATAAATCGGTTATATATATCTTCACCAAGCAAATTGTTTCGTTCAAATGATGCCAAATGGGGCATTCCAGCATAAAATCTAATTAAATAAACCACAAACAAGTATTTAGTTGGTTTTAAATGAATTAAAATAATAAACAAGTAAAAAAACACAAATTTCTAAAACTACCTTAAATTCTCTTTAATTTTGTTGGTATCAATTAATGAGACAATGTCTTGATAAATTTTTTCTCTATGATCTTCATTTTTTGAAGCCTTTTTGTTGTCACAAGCAAAGGTTGCTCTACGAGTTATGTAACCAAGAACAAAGGAAAAAACCACTACAATTAGAGATAATAGAATTATAAATACTTTTTTTTTTAATGCAGATTTTTTGCTGTTATCCTCAAAACTGACTTGATCGTCCTCAAATGTACGAAACTTCTTCATTTTTGTTGTCCTTACAGCAAGTTTTTCCCTCTTAGATGCTCTAAAAGTTATGTATTTATGCATAATTAATTTTATACAAATTCATCATTCATTATATGAAGCATTTATGTATTAATAATATTTAAAAACTCACAAATTAAAAATAAAAAAGTTCCATTTTTTACTTCTGTAAAAATGATTGAAACTCTTGAAAGTGTAAAAAAACTTAATTTTTAATAAATTTTTAGCTGCTTATATTTTACGATTATTTACATTGATAATTCTGCAGTCTAGTTATTTTTTTTTTTATAAAACTATCAGCATGATATCAAATTTGGTTTTATTGTTTAACCACTGCTACTGTCATGATATTATAATCTTATAGCCATAACTTTTGAATTGGTGTTAGCAAATTTTATTATGTCAATTTATTTATTATATTTTTAAGAAAGAAAAAAAACAACAACATGTTTTGAATTAAAAACATAACTTCATGAAATATATAACTTGTTATATAACTTAATTAAATAACTTTTTATAAAGTTTTTGGCAATCTTTTTAGTACAACATTTCAACTTATTGAAAGAATTGTCTTCCATTTTAAAAGAGTAAACACCCGTGGTTTCATACTTATGAGACTTTGTGGGGATCCACAGCTCTATTTTCTCATTTAATTATGACATTTTGGAAGAGTTTATTTTGCATTTTGTCTTTGTAATACTGCCACTATAAAGATCTTGCTTACTCTAACCCATTTGGTCATGGTAAAGCTGCCTTCGTTATGACCAAAAGGTCTAAACTTAAATACGCAATTCAGAACAAAATTAGTCTTGCATATTTAAATGTAACTACAAATTAATGTCTCTTCATTACTCAGTTTAAAATTTTCTATTAGTAAATAATGATTATTTTTACATGTACACTAAATATATGTTATGCAACTTTATCCATTTGTAACATATAAACATTAATATATATAATATAAGTAGGCTGACCAGAACACTCTTTTTTTCATAGGAGAGCACATCACTGTAACTTAATAAAGTTAATTTATTCCTATGCTCTCCTAGGTAAAAAGGAGTATTCTTGTTACCCTAAACATAAGTTTAGGGTGACAAGAATACTCTTTTTTACCTAGGAGAGCATAATATAAAATATATATTATGTAATTTTATGTATATGTTTGGGTATAAAACCCAAACATACATAAAAGTACATCTCCCTAATTTGATCTGTCAGCAAGAGTAAAAATGTAGTATATACATATTTATACATATATGTACATAAAAATTTGAAGTTCTCCACTAATATCTTTTTATAAAAGCATTTTACTTGCAAACTAATTTCGATTTTTGTAAGGTCTAAACTTATTTTGAGAAAAACAATAACTTTAACTCAAAAATAATTAGTAATTGATTAGACTATGTCTAATTATTTTGTTTTTTATACTAATACTTTAGATAATATAGTCCTAAGATAAAATAAAATGTTTCAATTTCATCCAACTTTTTATTCAAAAGTAATTAAAACTTTATGGGAATTTCCAGAGATTTTTGATAAAATTTTGACAAAAAAAAGACTACTATTAAAAAATAAGATTATTTACAACATAACATTATTATGTGCTAGTTCTTACCAGAACTTAATAATCACAGAAGTTAGTACCAGAATTTAGTAATCTATCAGCAAAGGTGTAAGTTAAAAAAAGTAGCGGTATGCAACGCATTACTTCTGTTTTAGTACAAAAATGAAATCTGGGAAAATTGTACACAAAGAAAATTCAAAACAAATTTATTGAACTTGGTATCACGTCAGTTTTTTTGATGTTATATGTGTGTATGTATGTATGTATGTATGTATGTATGTATGTATGTATGTATGTATGTATGTATGTATGTATGTATGTATGTATGTATGTATGTATGTATGTATGCATGTATGTATCTATGTATGCATATTTGTATGTACGTGCAGGGGAAACTGAAGACACTTGATTCTTATCGGAGAATAGGTACATAAGAATTATGGAAATATTAAAATTTTCACATTATTTTCAGCTAGCAAATTTATTAGGCCATGACACCCAATATCTTTTGGCGGCAATAAAATTAAAAACAATAAAATTTATTGTTATATATTTGTCATAGCAAATATTACTAAATATTAGCATTATTTTTACTATATTTGGCATATTTTAAATTATTAAAACCAGTACTAGTGATTCTATTGACAGTATTTTTTAACAGCATTTATTTTAATTTTTCTAAATTTAAAAGAAGTTTAAATTATTAATAGTAATTAATAGAATTTGTAAATATCTTTTGATGTAAGAACTTTATTTTGAAATATATATATATTTTTATAATTAGAATTATAAATTAAATAACAATTAACAGTAGGTATTTATTTGATAATAGCTAATTTACAATTTGTAAATATTCTACGATGTAAGAACTTTATTTTGAACTATTTTTTTTTATTTCTAAACAAAATTTTCTGATTAATACTATTCAAAAAATTTAGATAAATGCATATTTTTGTTTAACAGTATTTATCTAATTTTTTTCTTATTTAAAGATGAGAACTACGTAGTTTCAAATTAATTCTCAGATTAAATACTCAAAACTGATACATGCTTCAAGACAATGAGAATTAATTTAAAACTTACAAAGCTCTCGTTTTTCCTATTAAAAGATGAGAACTTTGTAGTTTCAAATTAATTATCAGATTATTATTTATATCAATCTATGAAAAATCTATTAAACCTATTTTATCTTCTAAATAAAATTAAACAGCAGTTATGTTATTTTTTAATAAAAGTTGCTAAGCAAAAAAATCGTAAACAATTTAAGTGTTATTAAGTGAAAAAAAACTTAACCGCTAAAAATAAAATTTGGAATTGGAAAATAAAAAAGAAAAAGAATTAAGTAAACAAACGCAATCCATGGCGCCAATGATGACTGGCAGCAGTGCCGCTTTAACCACTGGGCACTAGGGTGACACAAAGTAGGGTCGAAAAATAAAATTTTTCAAAAATCAATAACCGCAGTTGCTTATCCTGTTCTACAACATTCAGTTAGTCTAAAAACAAAATATCACTTATTTTTATTCGTTGGAAGTGCTAGATGTAATTTTTTAAATATTGAGGATTGGCTGAACTTTATGTCATTTTTTACGGGTAAAAATATGTTTATATCTAAACTTTTGTTTGATCTTACAAGAAAAAAAATACTGTTTATAGTTTCATACAGTTAGCTATTATTTTACAATAATTTTTCAACTCTAGGTTTTAGCTTTACCAGTTCCTTAAGCGACATAACTTTTGTTATAAGCTTTCTGTGCTCTCTGACTACCAAAAGAATGTTCTGTCTCTGATCCTCATTGTGGGAACTGTAAACAAAGTTTTTAATTAAACTAATATTTCTTTCTGCGCAATCGTTGGTCACACTAAGATTGCAAACTAACTGAGCAAAATTTTTGTATGAATCTAGCGCTAAGAAATCACTTGAAGTATGCCACTCTCGAACAGATTCGGTGTGACCTGTAAGTATAAAAAATAGCCAACTCTCCTTCGTAATTAAATCCTCTAATCGACTATCACTGGTAACGTTAACAGCAGAAGGAGCTGTAACAGAAATCTCTGATAACTCAGGAATTGGAAATTTTAAAAGTTTCTGAATGATTAAACGCTTAGCATCTGCTTTCATATAAGGATCACCTAACGATAGTACGACAACTTTAGGAGACAAATACCATGTGCTAAATTTTCGCGCCGCAGATTAATTCTTGCGTAATGATATTATTTTCACAAGAGTTTCCAACTTCATAATCCCATTCTGTTTTAATTGTTTCAGCAATTTTGAATGCATTAAAATCATTCAGAACAACATGCTCTGCTTTGCCTGAGTTAAGAAAGACAGGTCCATAGTAAATAGCAACAATAAATGCTACCCTTGAGACCATATGTTTTTTTTCAGGAGTCAGATATTCAACGACTTTGGATGTCATATCGAGCATTAGAAAATATATTGCATAGGCCATAAACCTTGCATTGTGACAGGTGCCAGGCTGATAGATATGAAAACTATTTAATTTCTCAGACTTAACATTCATGTAATACGCCAAGTATTCAACAAGATGCCTGTAATCATTCTTAAAATATTCCTAATTTTATTTAATAACTTTAAAAAAAAAAGTATATTTATGAAAAAACTAATTCATTTTATATTATTTTTACATACCTGGGGAAGATTTCATGTTCTAGTGCTTTAGTAACAAACTGAGTTTGCAGAGATCACTGCCAACAATAAGGTCTTGCTCAGGAAATCGTTTGAACTTTTCTACAGCACCACTAGCTGAAACTTTAGGAAAAAATTCTGTTATCCATTTCTGCTGAAAATCTTTTAGTAACTTATTTGCAAGGGCTTTAGACATTTCCATTGAAATTGCCTTTAAAGCCCAAGTAATATTTATTTCGGCAATATGGTGTCTACACAATAACCAAAGAAATGGTTTACCAAGAAATCTTGCCATAATAGTTATTGCACCAGATTTCCATCCAGTGTTAATTACTGTGGTGTCAGAACAGAATCCTACAATATAGTCACAAATTTCAAAATATTCTATGAGATTCATAATACTTATAGCCATATCGATTCCCTTACCACTATCAGTTGGCACAACACCGAGTAAAAGATCATCTTTGGTTTCAAACTCTGGGCTAGTAACAGATACTGATAGTCTATCTGCAGTAGTTGCCTGTCTAATGTCCTCCTCAATATGCTTTAAAATTTTACCATCAAAATGTAAAACTAACATCTTGTTAGCCATTAAATTAATATATTCATTACGTATCTGGCCTCCTTCCTCTTCTAAAAATCTGTAACGTCGCCTTCTGACAGATTCTCTGCTTAACTTTAGCTGTTTAACATCTCCTCCTAAATAGTTTACTACGCTTGCAATAAGAAGGGTTTGATCTCGAATGCTGAGACCAGCCCTTATACTGGTGGAAGTTGTTGCTGCAATGAGACCTTCACTGGTTATCTCCTTTTCTACTCTGAAATATGATGGTCTAAACTGATGCCTACTTTTTGAGCTTGCTCAAAAAGTAGGCATCAGTTAACATTTTTATTTGGAACAAAATCTTCCGACTTAGCAATTACATTTCCAGCATCTAAATTAATATAAAAATTCTTAGCTTAGCTATACATTTACTTCAAAAAATTACTAGTTTTGCCTAAAATGTCCGTGCATTATTAGAAAAAATTGTTTATATTCTCTCTTTTTATTTAGTCATAAGTTGAAACAAATATTTTTATGTGTTTAACAAATTATACTTAAATATTACCTAATTGTGATTCAGCTCCTGTTTTTTTAGGTTCTGTAGGTTCCTCACTTGCGAAATTGAAATTTATATCATTGTTAGGAAAAAAGTTGTGATTCCATTGCCTTTTTTCCCCAATTTTTTCTATGTTGTCACGAATTATCGAATCGTTGCTCTTCTGTACTCGATCTTTATATTCTTCTTTCCTTTTGCATCTATCAATCTTTCTCTGAAACCTTGCTTCAAGCTCTGTGTCAATTTTAGAAGATATGATCATATTTCTGTTAGTTCTGTGCAAAAAGTTGTTAAAACACTTAGCGTAAGATAAATTTGAATAAAAAATAAAATTTCTCAAAAAAATGATTTTTTTTATATAAGGGAAAAATTAGTAGATATATCATAATTGAAAAATAGGTTAAATCTTCGCAAAAAAATTTGAGCAAAAAATACCTTTGATCATCTAAGAAGGCCAAATCCTCTTGTAAAGCAGAAGTATCACGAGGCATTGATTCATCGCGTCTCAACTTCATCTCAAAGTCCTTCGCATTGATGTCAAACAATTGCTCTACCATATTGTAAAAGTCATTTTTGTGGCGTTCGGAAATTTGCTTTTTGATTTGAAAGGTTTTACTGTTGCACAAAGTTTTGTATTTGCTGTATAGAGATTTAAACTTTTCCATTATACTTCTCTCAGAAATTAAGTAATTACTGAAACCAGCATACTTCCAAATATTTACAATTTGTCGGAGTAAACAGTATTTTTCGGTATTTGAATTACAAAACTTGTCTTTCCCTTTACATATAACATCCTCTCGTGCTCGAGAACATGAAAAGTTTATTTTAATAGGTTTGAATCGCTTATCTCTAGCTGAAGTTAGGAACAAGTAATATCGAAGAACACTTCTATTTGATGGAAGTTGGTTTGTAGGTAGATAGCTTAAAGGCAAGTTAAGCAGGTAAACAGACCTCCGAGCGTTATAGCTAATTTCTTTTGTTTTCCTCTCTTTGATTTTCAACATTTTGTATGGATATGTAAACAGTAAAAAAAAAAAATGAAGTTTAAAGTAAGATAATTAATAAATCAAAAGTTGCCAAGTGATTAAACGCAATCCACTAAGTTTATGGTCCAATTAAAGTTTTTAAAAAATAGTTGTGAATGACTACAAATGTTTTAAAAACATCTTGAGTTTTTGACACATGTTTTGAAAACTTGCTGAATGATGTGAAAATAATAAAATAATGTGAAGAAAAAAAAAAAGGCTTGGAACGTAAAATTTTTAAATTTACATGTAGCTCTTCCTGATCACTTAGGGATCTAAAATTTTTTTTGTAGATTTCCGAAGTTTGGTAGAACAGGAAAATGTACTGCGGCTTTTTTTTTTTTTTTTTAATTTTGTGTCACTCTACTGGGCACGCTAGACACGTGCCGGGAGGCCACGGGCCAGAGCATTTAAGTAAATATTTGAAAGAGATATAGTTTGAATTATTATCGGCCTCTATCCTTGACTTCCTTTCCCAGAGACTTCAAATATTTGCATAACAGCGCATACGACGTATTGCAAACTGGACGATTTAATTTTTTACCGACTGGAAAGAATTTTGAGTTCGAACATAATGGTGAAAAAATAAATTTTAAATAGTTGGATACTTTATTCATTGCTCATTCTCATAGGATTATCATTCCACGGATCAGACGAAAAACTAGGATCGATACGCAACGGTAACTTTATTAGATGTATTGAGCTATTAGTAAAATTTGATCCTTTCCTCGCCCAACATTTGATAACTCATAGAAACAAAGGAGAAGATTGTATCTCATACTTATCTAAAAAGGTTTGCAAAGAACTCATTTACTTGATTGCCACCGAGGTTATGGAATTTATAGGTAATATGATCATCCTTAAGTAACATTTATCAGTGATTTTACTCCCAATGTACAAAATGGAAAACGAGTTGAGCGGCTCTCCCATGCATAATCATTTTGCAACTTCCAAAACGTTTTAAAAACGTTTTGAAAAAGTTATATTAGTATAAAAAAGTTAGATTTGAGAAAGTTAGATTAGTAGCTTGAAAACGTTTTGAAAAAGTTAGATTAGTATGCGATCAACATTCAAAATGGCTGTGGCCAGTCATACGACAATGTCAGTAATGTGTCTGGTATCGACTTTGGTTTACAAGCCAGAATTAAAGAGATCAACGTTCTTGTCGAATAGGTTCCGTGAGCTGCTCATTATTTGAACTTTGTAGGAGTGAGTGCCGCGGAATCCAACGGAACTGCTGCTAATTTCTTTAGCTTTTTACAAAAAATTTATAACTTCTTTTCTGCACCAACGCATCGAAGTCTCAAAGTCAAAGTTCTTTGCATTAACGCATCAACGCATCTTAAAGTCAAAGTTCCTTGCTGGAATACGTGTTAAGGTTCTCTAGACTCTCTCACAAACTCGTAGGTTAGCTCATGCTGATGCTTATAAGGTAATTGAAAAGGGTTATTCTTCTTACAAGGTGATTAAAAATCATTTAGAAAATCTATTAAAAACATCTTCAACTTGTAGTTGTGCACACTTATTAACAAATATTTTCTATATAGACGGCTTTTCTTGATATAAACGACAATCAGAAAACAAAATCAAAAGCAAAGGCTATTGGACTTTTGATCAAAATGGAACCACAAGAGACAGCTATTTTAATATTAAATTGAAACAGAATCATGGAATGGTTAATAAAGTTAACAAGAAACTATAGTCCGTAAAACTTGATTTAGGTAT